CCCCAAAACCCCAAAACCCCAGGTATAATAAATAAATACAATTTTGAGGAAAAAAGAAGTTTAAATGATTTAGCAGATTTAACATCATTAATAATTAATTTGAATTAAAATTTCTGATTTCAGATAAGCTGTAAAAGTAAATAATTTTTCGTATATATGCTGTCTGTTGCTTCATTGGATAATCGATTGCTCGAATTAATTTATGTGTGGATCTAATTACTATCCGAATACCATTCTTGTAGCATCTATCACATCCTTTAATCCATTGGTATCAGTTCTCTCATTTTATCTCATGTAATTAATTACCTCTAAGCAGATTTCCTAATAAATTTATTATTATTAATCGCTATGTTACCTTTAGAACTTCGAAAGATCTCTAGACTGCAATTATTTATCTGCTATTGGTACCTTAGTATAAATTCATTTTGTTCACCAGTTAATCAGACAGACTTTTTAAATGGGGTATTATTGCAAGCTTGGTGATTTATGGCCCAAATTTTCTCAGAGAAGTGAGGCCTCCATACATAATGAGTCCACTTATTTCGATATTATTTATCTATTGCTATTCAATTGGGACATTTTATTAGGGATATTATTGTGATTGGCTTTAAAAGAGTCTATTAAGGAACAGCAAAACTATCAATTTCTTGTTTTCAGGTTGTCTGAATTAGGGCTTTAGCATTAACAATTAGAGTACTTATGCAGCCCTATCTTTGAGTTGAAGAACCTCAGTCTCGTCATAAGGAGTTGAGTCAGGAATTTCTCTAAAAATGATAGATGATACTACTTTTATTAATATTTGGCCCTGAATTAGCATAAAATTGGGAGGTAAATTTACAATATTGTCGAGATCATAGTACTAATTAGTGATGATGCTATGAATAAGGTCTAGCAATAAACCTTAACTCTTTGTCAATGGCTTTTTCATTTGATCCATACTCTTGATGATTTATTTCTTAAAACATTGAATACAAAATATTCTTTACATTTTTCTCTTCAATAAATTTGGCAAGTGACGAAAAAATGTTGTTAAGAGAAGGTGACTATTGCATCTCTTGGAGTAGTTTCCTGACCTAGGTGTCATATTCAACCTACTCATTTTGATCTCCAAGAAGAAGACTCTTATCCAGTTTCTGATAGCTATCAATAAACATCTACTTAAAAGCGTCTAGCTCCTTGGTCAATTACTGAGTCTATTTTTGCTTTTATTCATACATCTTCTTTTGCTAATCTAGAAGTTCTAATCTTTACTATTCCTTTCTCTCTTCTTCTCTTTTCTTCTCATCTTAAATGTCAACTTTGATTCTAATGTATATTAAGATTAATTTTTAAATACATTTGTTGTTCCGCGATTTATTCAGGAATTCTTTATTACTAGCTTTACAAAGGCATGCTGCCGTATTATTAGAAGTCTTTTTCCTGTACAGTTTCTGCTATCTAAGGTTGATTTCCATCAAGAGCTTCGAAGTGAATTTTATAAGTAGTGCTGGCAAAAGGTGTGTATAGTTTAGGTTTTACTGCGAATTCTTTCAAGTTTATGTTCTATCAATTAGTCATGTAAAATGAGTTATTGACTTACCTAAGACTTAACAAACCATAGAAATTGAGCGTCTGGAACTTTTTCAAAAGTATAAGGTATTGTTGACGGGTATCCAAACATATTCTAAATATAAAATTTTATTTTATACTAGATTTTACCGGTATAGATAGCTTTTCCATGGCTAGTTTGACATCATCAGTTTTTAAGTAATCTCTCTTCGAATGTCTCATGACCTTTTTACTTTCCTAAGGAAAAGTCAAATGGATATGTTAATACCTAGAGTATCTCTAGCACTTTGCTTTCAAGGTCTGATAGTATCAAGTCCTCAACCTCTTTCTCAAGTTTCTTGATACCCACGCTCTCTGCAAATTAACCAATCAAATCTTTATCTTAAAGTATTGACATTTTAGTATATTTTATTAACTAATTTATATATTGATCAAGTTTATTGGGATCAAATCATTTTCTATAATAACAGGAATTTTACACACAAATTTAAACCAATAATTTAATTATATATATTCAAATTTAAAAATGAATTAAGCAAATCAAGCAGCAACCACTGCTAAAGGTGGCAGTCTTAACAACTGGATTGAGATACAAAACAAAATAGCAGAGACATTTGAGCAGTTTTTAGGAGAGTTTTAGTTCCACATAGATTTCTACTTTAAGAGCTATAACAAGAATCTCAAGGAGAACATAGAGATGCAGATCAAGGCTTCCAAAAAGGAGAAGTAGAAGTATCTCTAGTTCCTTAACCATGAAGAGAAAATGTAAGAATTGCACTTGAGGGATTAGATATTCTAATTTATTCGATTATAGATATTGGAAGGAGTTTCCCAGAAGAAAGAACTTTTATCATGCTAATTTAAGGAAGATTTACAACTTGTTTCAAAGTGGGAAATCATCAAGTACAATGCGGGATGTATCACTGATTATTTCTGGGATCCTGAATGTAATGCCTGTAGCAAGCAAAAAGTACTGCAGAAAATTTGGAATAGAACCAATCTTTCATCAAGATATGGATAACAAGCAGACATTTGATACTCTGACTGAAAGTCTAAAAATGTTTGACTCAGATGATATAAGCAACTGGAGAATTCTAGGCTTTAATATTAGTCTCCTAGTTTCTGACGTGATTTAAATCTTCTTAGAAATGGTCCTTCAAGACAAAGATATTAAGTTGTCACAAGGAGTTGTTGATATCTTACTTGATATTTGCAAGCATTTCACTCAAATTCAAACGTTCTAGTAAGTAATTAAGATATTAATTAAATTTAGAGATGAAAATATTGAGGAGGACACAATTTTTGACATTTACTTCAGGTAGATCCAAATTACTTGGGCAAAGATATATGGGAATATCTCAAGACTATCATTTGATAAGTGCATGAAATTTATGATGCATTCTTTGCAGTAAGATTTTCGTAAGCTAAAAGAAGATGAGGTTGAGCTACATGCTTAGAGAATACATTTCTGCAGATTTTTGCAAGTTTCACCTTAAGATAAATTACAGGCTTCGCATGTTTAGATCTTGTTCGATAACATACTAACAATTATGAATTCGAAGTCAATGACTCAGCAGATGAAAAATGTTCTAATCATCACGCTTAAGTATCTTGTTGAATAACTTAACTTCAGCGGATAAGATTTCAGCTTCGATTCAACGATGGGAATATTGTGGCCTGTTATAGAGGGAGTTTACAAAATAGCTTAAAAGTACTCAAAGAAAGAATTTTATAAAGATTATGCTTATCAGCTACTGATAGTTGTCATTAAAGCTAGTCCTAATGACTTTTACAATCTCCATTTATAAAAGCTGCTAAAAAGGGAGAAAATTTAGAGTTACTTTGAAACTAAAAAAGGATACATTTAGGGTGCAAATTTGATGATTGAACTTAGCATGGGAAATCCACTAATAATTAACAAATATTAGAATTGGAGTCCAAAAATACACCAGATATAATACCTTTTAGTGGATCATTTGCCCTCTAGCGTATATACTCCATTGAAACTATTCAGGAGATAAATCAACTATAAAATCGCTAGGAAATTGTAACAATCAGATAGCCTTCCTTTTACTTTTAGAGATTCATTCAAGTACATCTTTAATATAAAGCTTTTGACTGAATTATCTTAAGTTCATACTTAGTATTTAAAGCAAATGGCTTTTGAAGATCTTGAATTCTTTGTAGCATAGGCTTTGCCGTTTTTATTTGGATTTTTAAAAACTCAAGAAAGACTTGATATTCCTATTCTAGGATTAAAGATTGTTGATTTTATCTTGAACCCCATTAATGATTTCAAGACTGAGTTTATCAAACTCCAGCCTGGTTAAAATCAATATCTTTAAGAGAATCTTAGAAAATTGTATTCTTATACTCAAATCATTATTAAAGAAATACTAAGAAGCTAACTTTTGAAATCAGATTATTTGAGTGACCTAGCGAATTTTTACAAATCAGATGATAAAGAGCTCTGCAATGATTAAATTTCTGTGGTTTGGCCAAGATTCAACTAAGGACTGTATATGAATGGGAGATCTCTGAGTTTTTTCCTAAAATAAAAAGGCTTTGGTAAATTTCATCTCTAAGAAGCAAAGAGGGTCATTAGTTTTTAAGATTTCAGAGAGCTTCAGAAAATAGAATAGCAGTAAAGTGATGAAGCTCAAGATTCTGAGTATCTTTATGATCCATTTAACCAGATAACAAAAAGTCTTGAAAAGGAAATAAAAGAATGGGACTATAAAAAGGAGCACTTTACAAGATATCGCATTAATAGTTTTCTCTCTGAGGAAAGAAAAGAGAACCAAAGATAAAATACTTCGTAATTTTAGCTTTAGTAGTAAAAAATTGATGAGATGAAGATTCTTAGTAAAATATTGAAGATGATTTATTATTTGCCAGAAGTTTAAGATTATCTGAAATTTTACCCAACTCGAAGGCTTTTGATCGAAGAAAATGCACTTTTGATTAATAAGATACCTGAAATGAATTTTGCCGATTTCGAAGAAAGTTCAACTACTTAAGGAACCACTCTAGGAAATGATGAGAATAAAGGTAATATTGGGATAGGTGCCAATATGAAAAAGAAAAAGAGTGATCCTAAATTTATTAACAAGCCTTTAAATCCAAAATTGAAAGAAGCTTAGAATATATTGCCTTACTTTTTCCTTAATTTAGGGTAAGACATAGCTTTGAAGAGTGCTAAGTTAATTTAAAAGCTAATTGTGTTTGGAGATTTTAAGACAAGAATAGCTATTATTGATTAGTTGATATATTTTATCAAGGAACTTATGCTAGATACTCCTGAAGAGTTTCTGATATCATAGTATCTCTAGCTTTTGATAACAGTTGTTAAAATCTGGCATTAAACTGAGAGAAACAAACTATAGATTACAAATTAATAAATCATAAAAAATGGAAGAGTAGAAAACATCGCAGTTTTAAACTTAAATTATTACGATAATAGCTACTAAGAAAACTAAAATTTAAATGTAAACGAAATCTAAAGCTAGATAAGTTTACATAGCTATATCTTTGACATGATTGATACAATAGGATTAATAGGCATTTGTAATAAAGAGAGATAGGTCAGGTAACTATCAACTATTCTAATTGTAGAAAGTGGGAAAATGAAAAGATTATTTATTAAGAAGGATAACTATAAGAAAAGTCTATATGATCTGATTGAGTACAATAAGGACAACTTTAAGAAATCTATAACAGAAAAGGTTATGATATTTAGTGGAGCTAAATCAAGAGAATTAAAAACATATGCTGAAATACAACAAATAATAGAGGACTTATGTATCTATCAACTATTTATTGATAACTTTGACTACAAAAAATCAGGATTGAATGAAGGTCTTGTCAGAGACATACAGGTTATGATGATGGGGGAAATTTCTAATTTATGGAAAAATAATCTTATCTAAAATTGCTAGTATTCAGATTCAATACTCAATTTTATCAATATTTTGAGTTCCAGAACTTTGCATTTATTTGAAAACAAATCTGATTAAACAGGCATTATCTAAAAAGATTACGTTGGCATTAATCTGCTAATGGCTATTACTTTGTGTAATGTTACTCATTCAGCCACTCACCTTGCAAAGAAAAGTGAATCAGATTAAGATGATTCATCTAATCCTAGTTAGCAAGTGCTTTCAACCAACTCCATATTTGAGGAGATGTCAAATTTAATTACGCTTTTGGAATTAGAATTTGGTGATTTATATAAGACTGCTTTTGGAAAATTTTACCCTCAGAAATTCTATATATCTCAGATTTTATTGTCCTTTATTTACAAATTACAAGATCCTTGCGAGATTTAGTCTTATGAGGTGCTGAAGGAGATATTTTAAATAGAGAAACCAGGATCATAGAGCAGTCAATATCATTAAAATTGCAAGCTATTTTTCACTCTAATTGTAAGCAATGAAAACTTATTTGTTCAGTACTGCTAAAAAGATACAAGGATATTAGTTGATGCAGTAAATAGATTAGATTTTATTGATTATCGCAAGATCAATGCTTAAAAAGATGAAATCGCGAGAAAGCAAATGCTGATTATTTTTACCAATTATTTCCATTCAGTGATTTAAGGTGTCAAAGGAGTTTATGAAAAAAATTAGTATAATCAAATCTCAAGGCTCTTATCAGCATAATACTAGTATGAGGTTATAATGTTTCTGCAACAAGAGCTTCAAAATATTTTAACTAACAAAATCCAAGAATTGGATTGGCTTAAAACAAAAATTTAAGATATCTGGCAAGCTATACTATCCTTTGAGAATGTTTTCGATAGTATTCCAAATGTAAAAATAGATTTAAGATTTTTAATTGATCTTGAAAGTTCAGGTTACAAAGTACTCAAATATTATAAGTACTTGTATAACAACAATAATCCGCAACTAAATAAAACTTAGGATTCTAATAAGCAGGAAGAAGTCTAGTAAGAATTTACAGTCAATGAGCTCAAGCATCTTTTTACTTAAATTTATCAATACTATTCCACATAGGGAAATTTCTAAGAGTTATTGCTGAAAAAGAATACATATTATAGTTGCTTTATTAATAACATAGTAGGTGCAGATTAACTGTTAAACTATTTAAGATAGAAGAATTTCAATCTAGTTTATGGTTAATTGACATCTAGTTGTCTTAGATCAACAAAAGCATTGATAGAGACAAAGATTAAGAAATTTTTATCGTTTGGTCTACATTCAAAGTACTTCCTAGTAGGACTATTCATGAGTTTAAATTCTATGGATAAAAAAGTAATAGAAAGATCAAAAGTATTGTGTCTCTCAGTTTTACCATTAATGTTTGAAGATGAAAAATTCAGGGAATTAGTAGAAAGCTAAATTGCTGAGCACGAGGATCTAAGATAGCTAATAAGCTTTGATAATAAGAACTTTTTCAGATTTATTAAGCAAATATTTAAGGATGAAGAAACTTATAATATGAGAAACCATTTTGAAAAGTATTTCTCAGTAACTGGCCTAGTTAGAAATACTCTTAATGAAATCATAAAATTATAAAACCTTAATTTTTCTCAGCATATGCTGTTGAAAGTGCTAGATATAATAACATATTTCATCGGAAATCTGCAGTTAAGAAGGGCTCCACAGGTAGAGCAAAGTTCATTTATTTTTGATAATTTAATCGACTATAAATCCTTTGAGATACTGTCAAAGCTATATAAGATATCAGAAAAATTGGTGGACTTTGATGATGAAACTATTATAATGAACATGTGGTACAAATTAGTGGAAGGAAAAATATAGAATTTTGAAATTCTAGCTAAATTCCTGGTTCATAATTTAAGTTCATACCTAATGAAGCTAAGAAAGTAAAATGATAAAGGCAGCCAAAATGAAGTTAAATAGAAAGGTAAAAAATAATCAGAGTATTCAATTGAATTTGAAAAGCAGAAAAGATATGCCATAAGCATATTTAACTACATAAAAGCTAGGACTGCACAAATGGATCTTAGAAATAGCATCAATGTAAATGCTAACTCAATAACATGGTCTCAAAAAATGATTAGATTACTTTCAAGAGTCTCACTTAACATCCAAAGTAAATATGTGCTTGAGAAAATTAAGCTTAAGAAAATTCTTCAAATAATTCATTAAGAGATAAATGAGAGTAATGTCAAGCTTTAATTAAAAGGTGGACTTGATAAGAATTTTGAAGTTGTTAAAATTGGGGGAAACACACGTCTATCAGTGAACATGTCCTAACTACTCTAGTCTTAGACATTTTTAGAGACATTCGCCGCAAGAAACAGAAAATAACAATGCATTATGAAAAATCTAATGTTTAGGATTAGAAAAATCATGATTGAAAAGTATGAGGAAGTTTCTAGTTAAGCCTCACTTTAGGCCTTGCCAGTCTTAATTATAAAATATCTCGAGAATACACTTGTATTTATTACCAATGATGTAGAAAGACCTACATAAAATATTAACTTCTCTTTAAAGGAGTAGCTATCTGTTGTTATAATAATGATAATCTTGACAATTGACCTGATAATAACTGATGTGAACGAAAATAGATTCTATTTCTTACTAGAGACATTCAATAAGCTTTCTATAAATATTGGATCAGTCTAAAGATACTTTAATTTCAAGTAGTTTACACCTCAAAATATATACTCAACTAGCATGAAAACTATGGATAAACTTTGGCTTATCATAAATCTTAAAGACTGCTTTGAGTATTTCAATGTTTTTACAAAGCTGTTTTTCAAGTAGCTACAGAATCTCTATTCATATCCTGAGATCCAGTATCATTTGCTGAGAATGTGGTAAACTTCACTCTCTAAAAACAGAGAGATAATTATGAGCAAACTCAATTCAAATGTTTAGAATAGCATCACTGATATATCACTTGGAAAAAGTACAACAAGTATGATGTATTCGAGACAGCTGGTTCTTACAATCCTTCAAAGTGCATTCTTTACCTTTTATCAAATATCCTAATCTAGAAATCAAATCGACGATAACAAGAAAAAGTATATTGCTTACAATATGATACAACATGTAAACAGTCTTTTGGAATATATACTTCCCTCTAATTAGCAAAAAGCTATATAACTAAAAGGAATAAGTGATCCTGAATCAACACATGTAGCTTTTGCAAACAATGCCATATTTTGGCTCTCTTACTCTTGTCTTGAATGCTCTATTATTACAAAGGATAGCAATCCCCAAATATCAAATAATCTACAAGAAATAGGAATGAAGGCTATGAGAAGAATATTCGAAGAATCCGATTTCTTAAAAATGCTTATCGGAGTTTCAAAGTTATCACCTCACTTCTATGCTTATAACTTATCAATCCAAAGAAACCAATCTTCTCTGCTTAGCTTGATATTTGACACATTTGAAAATCCTGAGTGTGTTGAAGATGCAATGAAAAGTTTGATAGTGACTATTAGAGTCTAAGATTATAAGTTACTAAACAACTAGGAAAACAAAGATTTATGCGAAGTTGAGCTGCAAAGATTTCTGCTACTGATACCATTCCTTCACTAGTAGTTCACTTATATCCTTCGAGGGCAGCCAAATGAAAAATCTTAGTAGATATTTTCTAGCTATAGAACTATAGTCTAGCTTTTGAAGAAATCCTTACCATCAATAGGAATTGATAAGAAAAAAGACATTTTTGATAGACTAGATACTCTATAAAAAGAAGCTGAAAAGAATGAAGAGAAACTTATCAAGAAGGAATTTGAAGGGCTGATATAGGCGACTGTTTCCCTATGTCACCTCCTATCGTTCAACTAAATCATATTTGATTGTGAAAGATTCTTAATAGAAATGAAGCAAGGCAAAAATATTAAAAAGATCATAGACTTGAGCAAAATTGATCTTGTCATCAAAATTATCAATGAATTCCTTGCTGATAATGAACTAGAGTTACCTGAAGAATAATATCTACTAAAAGAGGTTATGAAGAAGAATTATGATGAGAAAGTGTTCACAGGTGAAATACTTGGTGAAGAGGTGTCATAAATAGTCAATGAGATGAGACCTTTGTATTTTGGACTGAAAAATATCGTTTTAAAAGAAATAGAAAATATCGATAAAGAGATCGATATCAAGAAATTCTTTTTCGATGGCGCATCTCAGTAAGCCAGTGCATCGCAATCTCTAGGAATTACTCCAATTCAAGAGCAAGTTCAGGAATCTTAATCGGATTTCACAGGTCTTGCTAGTGACAGTAATTTTAGCGGGGCATTGAAAAAAATATCTACTAAAAAATAGGAGACTACTTCTAAATACTAAAATAGTTAGCCAGCCTCATCCATGAAAGGAGGGTATACACCAACCCAAAGAAGAATTGCTGAAATTACAGAGGAGTAAGATGATTTATTGAAAAGGATACCAACTACATCTTTGAGTGGTCTCTCGCCTAACTAGAGACTTAAATAAATGAACAAGCAGTACTAGAGTAAATATCAATAGATTAGATAGCCTGAGGATCATTTTAGCAAAAGCCCCATGAATAAAAAATCGATTCAAGATCACATTTTCTAAGATGATGACATAATTGTACATAATGTTGTTAAAAATCAAGAGTCCAACCTACAGGTACCATAAAATGAACCAATGATGGTTATATTTAATGAGAGAGACGATGAAAGTGAATTCAATGTATAATATGAAAACGAGGAAGATGACACTGAATAATCATAGTATCAAAACTAAGTCAAAGAGATTATTTAGCGAGGCTAAAACCTACAAGCAAGAACATTTGATTAAGAGCCAGCAATTAATACATCAAGCAGTGACGATCCAAGAGAAAAATTAAAGAAAGTTATTGAGTCTACCAAAAGAAGCAACCAGACGATTTCGAATACAGTTAGTCCACTTAAGATGTAGAACTATGAGTAATACTAAAAATACCAACAGCATTAAGGGAAGGTTAACAGCTTTAACATTCAGGCATAGAAGTTTAATTAAAATCCTATAGAATTAAGATAGAAAACAATTTAGCAATAAGAAGTTTACTAAACAATCTTAGATACTGATATGGGAGGTATTGCAACATTTGCCAAGCCAAATCCTTATAAAGAAAAAGTTGAAGCCAATGACTTTTATAAAAATCCAGTCCAGCAAAGCTAAGTTTCAAATCAATCCTATCAAATATAAGCTCAGGTAATAGAGAGGTAAAATAAGCAAATATAGAAGTTAGAGCAGCAGGTTGAAGCTAAAAAGTAAGTGACATAATCTCGATAGACTGATATAGCAACTAATCCTAACTTCGTGGCGGATAGAATCTCCTAAATATTCACTGAGATGTCTTAATCAAGTTTGAATGATCCTTTGAGAAGAAAATATAATGAGACTACCACTAATGCATAGTAGCAACAGGATTTCGCTCAAAATAGGAATTATCTACAATCTCAAAAGAAATAATAGACATCTAAATATCCCTGGCTACATGATAATGTGATAGAGGAATAATAAAGACAAAAGAATATGTTCTAGTCCTAGAATGTTCAAAACCAAAGGCAAGCGATGAGTAAGGAGAGTCAGTAGTAGTTCATCAGAAATAGGGCTAATAACTTCCTAGAGAGTATAAAGAATGAAGAATTACCAACACCAAACAAGAAAGAAGGGCTTGATTCAAGATTAATAAGACTTCTGAATGATAGAGAGTAATTCCTGAAATTTGAACAATTCCTAAATGAAGTTAAAAGCTTTGATGTGGATTACCTACACTACTATATCAAAATTATGGAATATAAAAAGGAGTTTAACCAAGCTAAGGTAATATATTTAGTATATTAAATTTGTCTCTATAGGCTAAATTAGCAGCAGGAATCATAATAGATAAGTATCTAACAGAAGATGCAGAAAGCTATATAAATATGGAGAACTATATAGTTAATGAGATAATAGCTGAATATGAGAAAGTATGCATGAGTAGTAAGGTAGAAATCAACAACAGTCTTTTTGATGACTCAATCATAAATGTAAATTTCTTAAGCATCATAATTTATAGATTGAAAGAAGTCTGGCTAAATATATCGAAGAATTCAAATAATTAGATTGATAAGACCTGTGATTCTTTTATTATAATTAATTTAAATCTTTTATCTTGTTTCCATAATTATTTAATCATATTATATTAATATTCCTCTTATAATCATCTATTTTAGCAATATTCAATCGACTTTATTATTTTATAAAATTTTATCCTCTATACTTCAACCTTTCATAATTGATCATCATTCAATTTAGTCTTATTGAATTTAATGTTTTTAATAGATGATATCTGTTTATATTGAATAATTAGCATTAGGCTTTGATTTAATTCATTCCTCAGTATTAATTAATATCTCGTTTTAAGATTAAGATCTCTAATTTAAGAGTAAATCTTCCTCAACTATCTTCGATTTGTCAATGGGCTGAGATTATTTTTTTATATGAATATCATTATGCTCAAACTAATCATCCCAGTTTTCAATCAATTATTCTTCAATTTTGTTAATCCCTATAACCATCTCTCGACCACCAATTTCAGAATCAATACTCTCTAGCTAAATTTATTTTTCTAACTCATCATCAAATTACTAGATATCCATATCATTTCCAGAAATTTATTCTGAATTTTCCTTTACATGAGATGACTCATCCTCTTAAGCCATATTATTTAGATTAATATCACCTTCATCTAAATCTTAATTTCTATATATTAGATTGCAATCGCTCTCGTCCTGATTCATTATGTCGATTTGTAGTTTTGAATCTCTATTTTCAGATAGATTATCGAAAAACTAATCTTGAAGTTATTCAAATCTCTTGGTATTTCCTCTTCTTATCCTTTAGAAATTTTCAATTTAATCCCCTTTCAGTGTTTTTCCCTTTGTTAAGGAGAAATTCATTATTTAAGTAGATTATTTTTTTAATTTATCACGATTTGTTTATTATCGATTAATTGTAATAGCTTCAAACCTTTAACTCTTCTTTTTTATATATATATTATTTTTTTATCCTAGTCTTCACTATTTTTTATATATTATTGATTAATTTATCTAAGCATCAATTCATTCTCAAAAAGCATTCCAAATTATTCTTAGTAGAAATTATCATTCTTACATAAAGATGATATATCTTTTTTATATGGAGAACTATCATTTTTCGAGTCTAATGATAATCTTTTATTTTAATTAGGTATCTTCTTATAGCCTCTTTTAGCTTCAACCTTCTTCCCTCTAATTTTATTATTCAAAAATTCTAGATGAGAATTTTTATAAAATTGAGACTTGGAATTCTCCAATAAATATTCTGAAATATCTAAGCTGTCATCAAATCGAATTCTATTTTAAACCTCTCTTTCTGATGATTGATCATTTCCTTGATTTGTAAAATTTTTATTTGGATAATAGCCATCATCAAAATCGATTTCAATTTAAGAATCTTATTATAGTTTAATTGACTATTCTTCATTAAAATTCTCTGATATTATATAGTTTTTATTAGAGGATCTATCATTCTCAAAATCCTAATTGCTAACTCTATCAATATTTCTTGTTATTTATTTATCTAATTATAATTGAACATCACCTCTATCCATTTCTTGGTCATCATTTAATGGGAGCATTTTCTTGGTCCTCATATTTCGAATATTTTTATTATTTTTAATAAAATCATCGTCAAATTCGTTCATCATTTACTTTTGTTTAAAGATAATTGCTTAATTTTACTTGATATTGCCCTTATAGACTATAGCTTCATATTACTCCAAAATCTTTACCACATCTTCTTTGTACTTATCTGATTTTTAAATTATACTTTCCGTTCTAATTTCCTACGATAGTTTTTTCTAGTTGTTACAAATACATATTGCTAAGTATACCCTCTGAAAACTTTTTCTTACTTTAGATTTCATCTCTTAACTCATTTTAAGGCCCCAATAAATAAAAAAGATCAAGTTTACTATTAAAATTATTGCAAAGAAAAGTTTTTTAAATTAGGAGGAAATAAAGACTGCACTTTTTGCATATTCTGGATTATTTTGAATCCAATCCTTTGGTTAATCCAAAATAAAGAATATTCCGATATAAATTGTAGTCATCGAAGTAAATATTGATACTGTATCTAATTCATTTAGATGCTTTGTACTAAATGGTTAATGCTTGAAATTAAATTAAAGAAACCATACTAGCATTAAAAATATTATTAGTGCTTAGGCTATAATTCCAAAATTCCCGATAAAAACAGAAACGAAAATAGTGAAAATCTTCCGATATATTATAACAATTTCCCAGTAAAAAAACTCAATTTTATATCCTCTGTATAAAAAGCCATATTTTTCACGAATTCGAAGGCTCTACAGATCATCTTTTTTCTATAATAAAATGAGAAGAGCAATAAATGGAATCCCAATAGACCATAATAAAATGCTTGGCAGTCCAACAATATAACTAAAGAATTTATGAAAACTACTCCAACAGATAATTTCTAAATCTTCATATAATCTAGATTCTCCATCTATTTCCCTGCATTTAAAATTCTTAAAAGTAAACTAAGTAATACTAGAATGAGCCAAAAATATTAAAATAACAAAACTTGTTGTTGATTTTGAATCTATAAAGCATCTTTTGTAAACCAATTAATGATAAATACTCCAAAATAACAGGCAAATTATCCCCAAAAATATTGGCAATAGTGCAATTATTATTAATTTTACAAAAAATATTCTATTGGATTCAGAGTTAGTTTTAGCATCTAGGAAACAATCAATGCTAAAAACTTGTGTG